AAACCACAGCCTGTGGGCTAAATTCAGCCTCCTGCTTGTTTGGTAAATAGAATTTTGTTGAAACATAGCCATACTTATTTGTTTACATATTCTCTATGGATGCTTTCACTCCATAATGGCAGAGTTAAATAGCTGCAACAGAGAATAAATGGCCTGCAAAGCCTGAAGTATTATTTGGCCCCCTGCAGAAAAAAAATTGCCAATCCTTGAGTATTATTAACTGGAAGTCTATAGTATGTTTTGCGTTTGGAAAGAAAATATGTTCTCGTTGGGTTTATATTTTAAAAAAATTCTTGGCTATTCCTTATAAATGTCTTTGGGTAAATTCTACCTTTAAGTGATTATTGATATGGCTAGGTTTAAGTGTATCAGCTTTCTATTTTTTTCCTTTTTTTCTTGTCCCATTTGTTCTTTATTTTCCTCCTTGCCTTCTTTTGGTTTAGTAATTTTTATTTTTATCTTTTATGCTTCTATTTTATTTTTAACGTTTGCTTTAGAATTTATACATCTTTAAGACATCATAGTCTACCTTTGAGTAATATTTTAAGAAACTTACAACAGTATAGTATTTTCATTTCCCTTTCCTGATCTTTTTGCTAGTGTGGTCATATAATTTACCCTTTACATGTGTTATAAACTCCACAATACATTGTTTTATTTTTGCTTTAAATGGTCAATTATTTTTAAGAGTTTTATGAAAAAATTGTCTTTTATATTTACCCACATATCATTTCAGCACTCTTCATTCTTTGCGCAGATAAAGTTTTTCATCTGGTATTTTCTTTTTGCCTGAAAGACTTCTATAAACATTTCTTGAGCAGATCTGCTGGTGTTGAATTCTTTCAGCTTTTGTAGGCCTGAAGAAGTTTTCCATTTTTATTTTTGAAAGAGATTTTTCCTGGGTATAGAATTGTAAGTGGACAACACTTTCTTTCAAAATTTAAAAGGCCTGCCTTTTAAGCCTCGTTAGCAGGACCAGAACCACCTTTAGTCTCGGAAAATACCCTTCTGAATACTTTATAAGATGCCCCATGTATTGTAAAGTTCTTCACTCTAGTTGGTGGAAACACAAACAATTTCTAGACCTATATGAGCTCCAGGGATTGTTCTGTCCCTTTCTCATGGTTCTCTCCCAACCCCAGATGCTCTCTCCCTCCCTTCTTCCCCCTCTTCCTCCTGCTCTGTACAACTCTCTCTTCTCTGCCCTGTGATTCTAGTTACATTGGCCTCCCCAAATTCTCCACTCTGCCTTTTCAATTCAGGGAGACCTTTTGGGATGTTTGAGTTCCTCTTCCCACATTGTGGCCTAGAAACTCTCTAGGCAGTAAGCCTATCTTGTTTCTCTCCTCTTGGGGCTTACTCTACTGCACTGCCTATTGTTGAATGTCTAAAAAACATTTTTATACATATACGTATTTTTACGTAAGGTGAGAGGGCGAAAGTAGCCCCTATTACAACATCATGGTTAAAATGTTTCATTTGGGATTTTAATCGAAATCGATGGAAAAATGGACATTTAAATTATTGAGTCTTCCCATTTAGAAACATGGTATATTAATTTACTTAGGCCTTCTTTTGATTTCTCCAGTGGAATTTATGTTCTTTCACATTTATATTAATGTTGTATTTAAGGACCCCAATACAGGCTCTTTATCTTCTCTCTTGTAGCATATTATTTACACTCTGTAGCAGCAATTCAGAGATATAGAGTCTAGAGGAGACCCTAGGGCTTCTGCTTTGTTGAATAGTTCCTAGACCCATCCACTTCCTCCCACTTCTGTAGATCAGAGGAGGGCCTATGACGTGATAATAGCTGTTGGTTTAGTTCCAGCTGACTCGTGATGGCAGAAGGGTTGAGCAGCTCTGGACTAGGCCCTTGAGTATGAATGAGAAAACATGAAAAGCATTCCTCATGGACCTCCAAGGTAGAAACTGGCTTAGAACGTTTTTATTTTGGCTTGGCTTGCCTGTAGCCTTTTTTTTTTTTTTCCCCTACTTTTATTTATAAGTGGGCATGGAAAAACTCTGAGAAGTAAAACCTGAAGATTGAACCATTGGCCTGTTGAGGGTGCTAACATCTCTATCTGGTTGTGTGATCACCTTATTTATACTCTGGGTCTCTTCTTTGATAGATGGTTACTAATGCACAGGGGAAAAAAATCATCTATAATAATATCTCTGGGATAAATGGGCATTCATGAGCTAGTTAGGGAAGTTGGGGAAGTGTTCTAAATATCAAATGACAAATTTAGAAGTAAACTTGCAACATAATTCCTTCCTAAGTTGGGAACACTCTGTTCTTAATGAAATTCATCTCTTGCTGTAATGACAGTAATAATTTGAGGAGACCTGACTATAGTTGACACCAGATGGGTAAACAACCATCTTAAGTAATGAGTTGGTTAATTATAGCTGTGCCATGTTTATAGACCTTCAATTAATCTCTTGAGAGTATATAACTCCATCATCTACGATGGCTCATAGTATTTGGGCAGAACTTTTCAGAGGTCAGCCTCCTCTATTACCCAAAATACATGTCTTAAGAATTAAAGGGTGGGGTGGAATTTAGCTTACTTAATTTCATTATACCTCAGTGTGAGGATCAACTTATATACAGCAACAGAGGCAAATAAAACAGGGAGATTTTAAAATATTTTACTGTAGTCATGTAACCCCTACCCTTTTACTTAGCTGAACACTCATATATATGGAACGCCCAAGTCTTAGAATGTGGGTGTATGCAGACTTTCTGAAATAGTAAGTTCAGTGCCTCATTTGAACATTGGTCCACTTTCAGATAGGTATACTGGCAAAAAGAAAACAATGTCACTCTCACAAAATGCAATATATCCAGACACTCTGGAGGCCCAACCCATCCCAAGTGTGGATCATGCTAGACCAGGAGCAGATAACCCGGTTGGTCTATATCTCTTGGGCTCACCAACCCTGATGCACATTAGCATCACCTGCAAAACGTTTGGTAGTACCATGCCTACCTCAGACCAAATAAATTAGAAGCTCTGGTCTGGCCCCCAGGCATTGCTTTTTTAAGTTCTCCAGGCCATTGTAATGTACAGCCAGGGCTGAGAACCACTGCCAGACCAGAGAAGAGTGGTGTAGGCATTGTGCCAATTTTCAAAGTATTCATGCAGAGCAGACTTTTAATTCATGATATAAAGCAGTAATTAATTCTTTGGTTCTTCTAAGGACATTGCCAAGTATGGTAAAATTGCCTATTTCTCCAGCATTTAGCTTAGGAGGTGACAACCTTGGGTGTGTGTGGGAGGTAGGGAGCACAGTCCTGTTACTCTGCTTCCTACATAGCTTTTGAATTTTTCTCTTTTCTCCTTGCTGCCACATCCTTAGTTCAGGTCTTTAGCATCTCTCTGGTCTCGCTACCCCTTTTCCACTTCTACTAGCACTGCTCTCATAATTTCTCTCAAACCCTAAACACGTCTTTCCTCTCATAATCTTCTTCAATGGCTCCCTGCCATCCAGAAAAATCTGTGTCCTCATCTGGGTGCCCAAGGCCTTTCATGACGAAGCTAGAGAGAGTCATTTCTCAAGTCCGAAGGTCCCTTGCAGGTCCCCGACTGAGCAGTTGTCTCTGGCTTCTAAGCCTTTGCCTGGACAGTTTGTACCTTATCCCATCCTGCCAGAAGTCCCCATTCAATGCTCTTCTTCTGAGTAAAACCTTCTCTGATCTTCCCACCTCCTGTTCCCACCCCTTAGATCTTCACTGCCTGTGCCAAAGCAATACCTGTATAAGCATTGTATATACCTGGCAGAGAGTGGGTACTCAAAAAAAAAAAAAAATAGTGCATGAACAAATAAATTTCATTTATCACACTATCAAAATTTTAAGTCTGTCTTCCCTATTAAATTCTGAGCTTTCTCTAAGGGAAGTGGATAACAAGGTCATGTATGTAGTAGAAAAAGCAAAGCTTTTGTAGACAGACGGGTTTAAAACTCTGCTCTATTCATTATTAGCTGTAGGATCTTGGATAAGTTTAACTGTTTCCTCAGTTATAAAATGAGGATGACAACTCCTTGAAGGGTTCAGAAGATTAGACATGCTGTGTGTAATATCAGACACATAGTAGGTAAACAGATATTTTCTTCCCTTGCCGCCAATTTACTTACAATTTATGAGACACTTTGCAAAATTCACAAGTAACACCCCACTGGAAAGTTTTTGTTTTGGATTTTATGTTTCCAAATGACCAAATGACTTCATTCTATAAAAGATAAATGTTTGTTAGACTTGAAAACCTTTCTCTCCCCCATCTTAAGTCATCTGGGGCATATTATAACCTATTACCTTATTTAACCCCCTACTGTCTTTTAAACTCTTCTTGTTGTTTTTATAGTCAAGAGAACAGGAGTCAAGAGAGGTAATGAATTTTCTTGTAGGAGAGCTGGGGCATTTCAAAATCCTATTGGCTCTAAGCTCTGGGCTCTGTTCTTTATGCCATGTTGCCCTCACATTCAGTCCTGTGAATGCATGCTTTTAAATATAATCACTTAGTTTTCTGAAATTAAAACCAATACTCCAATGATGATTGTTTGAAGGGCAAAAGTTAAAGCTGTTACTTTAATTTATAAAATAAAAAACATTATATTTGAAGGAGAGTTCTTTTAGCCCCACAATCTGGGACTGAATAGTGGCTGACTGCCAAGATCACTGGGACTTAGCCTCTTGGAGCCTGGGTTCCTTCATCTCTGACTTAACAATAATAATGGTACCTGCCTTCTGTGAATGTGAGGATTAAACGAGTTAACAAATGAACTTCTAACACGTAGAGCAGGGTCTGGCACATGGCAGGGCTCAGCATCAGCTATTCCCATCATCACCATGAAGACTGTTCTGCACAGAATTCTATCACACTGGAACTTAAGTCATCCTTTAACGTGATCTATTATAGGAAAGAACACAAAGAAAACATTCACTCTTTAACACTTCTTGCTTAACTGAAAATTCTAACAACAAAAAAACGCACTTCAAAGACAAATAAAAAGTAACTTTATTGACTGTTAATCTTACCATGAAATGCCTATAAGAATAATTACAAAATAATGTAGTTTTTTTTTTTTTAACACACTTTTGGTATCATCCTTACATGATGATCCTTTCACAGAAAGGATTATTTACAGTTTATGTAGATATAAAGCTCACTGTTGCAAATACAAATGTAGGTGTGTAGAGGCAATATATACCAAATTGGTATATTAACTAGCAATGGATATTAACAAATGCAGAATAAATAACAGCTTTACACTTTTCTTTTCTTTTTTTATTTTTAAAACAATTTCCAAATACAAAAATGTAGGTATTCAAAATGGATTTTCATATACATATATATAATTCTGCTGCAAACAGTGGATCAAAAAGCAAAAATGTCCTTAGCGTGTTTCATTTTTGAAAACCCACAAGACTATTCAAAAATCCAATTACAAAGAAGGTGTGCAAAACCACCAACAGTGCTGGCAAAACCCTGAAGACTTGATTCTGATTGAAGGAGAGAGAAAACAAAGTATAAAGCGCTACCTAGTTAATTAAACATGTTTTTTCTTGATGTTTGTAAGAAACTCTAAGCACTAATTTAATGCACCACATTATGACCTGGGCTATTTAGAATCAAACTTCACCAGGATTTGTCTCTTAAGCATTTAGAACAAATGGTGGATTATTTAATGACTGATAAGTAAAATAGCCATTAGAAAATCCTTTCATACTTTCATCCTTTTATACAGAGACTGAGATACTTTTATACATTCTGATATCCAAAACTTTGGTTTTTTTCAAAACATTTGATAAAAAGCAAAATGATTTCATGATCATAGAATTCTATGGACTTTTTTCCTTTTAAAGTGTCAAGTTAAACTATTTTAACCAGGCTTATTGTATACATACTGCCTTGTCACATCCATGTGGGGACATGAGAAGGGCAGCACAGGTGGAGCTTGCTTATGTTCTCCATGTGTTTATAATACTGACTCCCATCCATGGGTAATACTGCATATTCTGCTGTACCCTAAATCTACTTCCTTGTTACCTGAAAACTTAATTTTGTATAAAAATATGACTGTTTCTTTAGAAAATAAGATAAGTTTTTTTTTTTTTTAATAAAACCTGGTAGATAGAAAAAATGGTATATCAAAATATGGTAAACAAATGTTTTAAATACGGAATCATTAAAAACATCTCATAGAAAGACACTGTGCTAAAGTACTCTCCTGAAGTGCGAGCCAAATTGTCACTGTACATCTAAAGGTTAGCAAGTTCATGCTCCTGACTTGGTTTCATTATGTATCCTAACAGCAGTGGCAGTAACTGTCTTAAAAATGTCCCTTTCTCAAACGGTAACATTTTCTGTATGCTTTTACTTCAAAATTAATAAAAAAGACACCCTCTGAACTGGTGGCTTTCAACTTTGCTGCACATTAGCTCCATCTGGAGAACTTTAAAAGAAAAGGCAATTCCATCTGGGTTGCACTACAAGAGAATGATTTAATCCACTGAAGGTGAGACCCAGACAGTTATTTTTTTTTTAAAGCTTCCCAAATGATTCTATTATGCACATTGGGTTGAGAATCATGGCAAAAGACACATGAGAAAATAGTCATTTTTAACTCTATACATGTCAACTGATTGTCTGTAGGTATCATTCCTACAATGATGCATCCTCCATATTAAACAAGAAAGACCATGTATACAACAAGATAGTCACAGAAGCCAAAATGAAGTAGTAAGCTTTAAACACATATAAACACGCACAATCTCCTGTATTTATATATGTATAATAAGATATATGTATGGTTATGATATTTTTGGTTAGGCAGAAACTAGCATTACCATAATTTGTTCTTGATTAAAAAACAAAACACCAAGCACAAACATTTTCTAAGACATTTCCATAATTTTAACAGAAAACAGTGTTGGAAACTGCACAAAATACATTATGACATGAACACAATTGATCCGTTACTTGGATGAGGAAATCAACTGAGTCTTAGAGCTTTCTGGAAGAGCAGGAGGAAGACACGGGCACGAAGGAGTCACAAGGCATTGCAGCATGCACAGTCTTCTGGTTATTGCTTAATTCACATCTTCTTGATGCTGGGCTGCACTTCTGGTATGTACATATCTTTGGCTTGCTAGAACCACTCGATTTTGACTGCTCCGTCAGTGTTCACTTTGGGACAGCCCCCGTGAGGCGGCAATGGCTATGTTACTAGGCAAGTCTCTCTATTAAAAGAGAGATTCTTTTCTATCCTCCCTCAAAACATGAGCATTTCGTGAGTGAAAAAAAATTTACAAGCCAACAAATAAACCTAACATCACTCACATGATAAAAAATGTGATGTTATGTGTAATTGAGCTAAAAAACAAAATGATGACCAAAACACCACAGTTCAACATTCTAAAGGCTTGGTAACCAGTAAAGCACATTTCCTTCCAAAGGATCATGAACTTCAGGGCACTTGTCTTGCTATACATTCTCTTTTACCTTAGTGTAATACTTAAAGTGCAATTGTCCCAAGGCTTTTATTTCCATTACAAATATCATAAAGAGCTGTATTTTGGGTGGAAAAAAATATGGCACAAGAAATATGTAAAGAAAGAACCCATGGCTTTCACAGCCTCTAGCAAACAGCATGCTGCCCATACAGCTGCACGCAGATATGCTTTATACAACGAACTCCGGAACTTCATCATGAGTGAGATCCAGAGAAAAGTATTTGCTGGTTCTTTTGACTGGAAAAGCATCTTGGATGTTAACACACTGCTGAGCCAAGCAACTGTTGCAGTAGAGGCCTTCTTCATCCAGTTCATGGCCACAACCGAAAGTATAACTCTGAGCAGTGTCTTGACATAGACCTGCAATGCGCAAGAAGTCTTTCTGGTAAAGTCTGATGTCATCGAGGCTCAAGCTATGTCGATCAGTGGAAGTCTTTGGTTTTCGACATATTGTCTGCAAAACAAAGGAAGGCTGAAACAACTTCATGAGTATATTTGCCCTGTAAAGAGAGAGGCTGCAAAATCATAAAAGGCTAAGGAATCCTATATATTAGAAAGTGGTCTCTAATCTGAGGTCTCTGAGCCCCTGAAGCCCTGTGGAGAAAAATCCCAACAGCATCACCAGCAATAATAGCAGCTAACATTTACTGGGTCTTTATTATGTACTAGGCCCTGATCTAAACACCCTACATGTAGTATTAACTCATTTAATCTTCCTGTTAGCCTTGAGGCAGGTGCTATTATTCTCTCCATTTTACAGATGAATAATCCAAGGCACAGAGAAGTAAATATGACAGGAATCCAACTACCTCTAGCATCTCAGAAATCAAGCAATTATCTTGAAATAAAGCTGTCTAGGTAAAGATACTGTTTCTTTGTTTTTTTTCACTAAGATATGGCAATTCAGTGTGTCAACACTCTCATGCTGAGGTCCGTTATTATTTTAATAAGAAATGGGAAAACAAACCAATTATTGCTCAAGAAAAACAGTTTGAAAAACTATTTTTTTAAAAGCCAGAATTCTTAGGTAGAAAAATAATACGAAGTGTTCTTGGTGCAGAAAAGGTTGGGAAGCAAGCGCCAGCATTAAGAGGCAGCTCTTGAACATTGCAAGAGGCCGTGTTCTGCCAAATGCTTCACACAGCAGGTAGCAGACTTTTGGAACTCATTATCCCAAGAGGTGGTACTGGCTGAAAATATAAATAGGTTAAAAAATGGCTCAGCTAATTACATGAATGGAAGATGCTAAATGAGTTATTTAAGGAAACAAGGCATCATATCTCTAACTTTTGCTTTTGAACACCACAAAGGCCGGCCTTGTTAGAACAAGATGTCACTTCTGCTGGAGGCAAAAGAACCAGGAAGCGAGAGCAGTGTCTGAGCCCAACAATATTTAACTACAAAATGTCACATCCGAGCACTCCCTGAAGATGACAATCCCTGTACTGATGTCATCTGTCCAGGGGCCAAAGCGATTTCACACATAGAATTCACCAGGTCATCACTACACATCCTCAAGGCAGGCGCACGAACACACACCCCGTTTTGTAGGTGTGGAATCCCATCCTTAGCTGTACCCCATGAACATTTATGTACCATAAGAGTTAGCACCTAGTGGTGGAGCAGGGGTGAAAACCCAGGTAGTTTGACCCTGGAGCTCTTATATCCAATCATCATGCTACACGTACTGCTTTAAAAATTACTCACTGGAGTGTTCTGAAAAATATTTAATAAATATCATTTCACATTATAGCTACTTAAATGGAAGTAAGAAGAAGAAAGGACAAATGAGAAAAAGGGAAGAAAGAGAGAAAAATGTAAGAGGCAAAGATTGCCAGAATGCAAAGAAAAAAAGAAAGAAAAGACAGAAACACATGGGGAAAAAAACAAAAAACAAAAAACAAACAGAGAGAACCCAAGAAAGGAGCATAAGGAGAGAGTGCTCAGAAAATAGAAGTGAATATAAGTCCTACATTATATTCAAGTGCTGCAATCATGAGTATTAAAGTATTTTAATTTATCTGTATCTTTTGACATTTTAATAGTCTAACCAGTGAACACAGGCTATCAATAACTCTTGCTTAGCATACTTTGAAAATTCACTCTGAATGGAATAATCAGCATATGGAAACATTTCTGCCGTAACATACCTGACAAGTTGCTGAAGTCAATCAACACTCACTTTCTCCCTCTCTCCCTCCCTCCCTCTCTCTCTGTCTTTCTGAACCTGAAGGCTGAAGACTACAGACTTCCCACCTACATAAAGAGTGAAACAAAGTACATAATCTATCCAAAGACAAAATCGACTCAATGATAAATGGAACTAGCAAACAAAATGGAAATCAATTCAGAATAAAACCAGAATCTATCTGGTAAGAATCATTTCCTTATGATTTTTAATTTTTACTTGTTTATATAAATATAAATGTTAAGTTCCTATTTAAAATTTTCAATTCCTTCCATACCTGTGGAAGAGAATCGGTACTCTGGCCACGAAGCCTGACGACGGTCTCTGAAGAGCTGGAGGTGGAAGAGCTGATTTCTTTCACAATCAACCCTAAAGTGAAACACAGAGGGAAAAAAAAAACGAAGACTTCAAATTATTCATACCTCTTGCCACATATCTGACATATGCTACTACTACTAAGAATGAAAGATCAAATATTAACTATTATTGAAAAATCTCATTGTGACTCTGGCGGTAGACAACCAGGATAGAACATGTTATCTCGTGTCTTACAGTAAAATGTGTGTGTGGGGTGCGGGGAGTGGGAATGAGATAAATGTGGGGTTTGAGTATAGGAAGGAGTTTAGAGTTTGAATTATTTAAAATAAACTTCTAATTAAGCTATTTATGCTGAAGTTAGTAATAAAAACCAAGACTGTAGGTATAAAGCAGTCTCTTAACTATATCTCCTAAAGGCTATCTAGTTTCCACATGACACCAACTTTGAATTAACCACAGCTGAACAGTGAACACAACCTTCTAGGTTTGGTTTCCCTTGGCTGTGCACTGGGTAAATGTGAAGGCTCTGGCTTCACTCAGATCTGGGCTGGAACCTGGTACAGACACATAATTATTTAGCCACCCTGTGTCTCAGTTTCCTCCTTTTATAAAAGGGGACTGATAACAGCACCTGTCGATAGAGTTTTATGATGATTAAAGCGCAAGGTACGGGGCCTGCATATGGAACACACTCAGTTCACAGAAGCTCATCCTGGCTGACAAGGTCACCGTGGCACGTGCCCCCTACAGCCAATCCCACTAGTTAAGTAAGAGACTGCAAGCGAGAGGCCACAGTGAAAATTCAGTTCTGGAGCTCTGAGGTCAAAAGAGCCCCTAATCGCCCCAGTGCTCACGAACAACCTGTTAACATTATGGAAACAGATAACCAGGGTGGACACTTTCTTATGAGTCTGTGGCATGTGAGTGAAGCACCCAAAAAACATTTCATAAAGTAAAACTGCCAACAAAAACAGGAGATGTAAGGGAAGGTCACTGACATTTTTCTTGCAAAAAGAAAAAACAAGTGAGTAGGTCAAGTCCCAGATCCTTAAGGCCAAATAAATGACTGAAGTACCTTCCTACCTTATAAAAAAAAAGAACCCAAGTAACGTGATTTTTATTCAGCCACTGCTAGTAACTGATGGAAATGACTTTTTGTGTTAACTATCTTTGTGTTAACTGCTTCCCTCATACCCACTTCCCACAGGCACTTTCTTGTACGTTGTTTTAGACATTTTCTTTATACATATACACAGTGAGTGAGAACATGCTATCTGTGTACTATAATGTGCATATAATTGAGAATTGGTATTTAATATATATTGAAAAATATTTGTGAGAAAAAATTCAATACAATTAAGCAAATGGGCAAAAGCACTGGGTATAAGCACTCTAAGCTTGACCAGAGCACCAGCATGCCGAGCCTTCCTTGGTCAGGCAGAGTGATCCCATGCAACGACTGGCAGGTCTGTTGCTGGCAGAGCATCTGAAGGCCGTGGTTCCTCTAGGCTAGCAAATGGAGTTCTGTAATAAAAGGTTCCTTGTGCCCTTGCAGAGTCAGTGCCAGGATGATGGGGACTGCATGTGTCGGCCTCATTCATCTGCGATTCCCAGGCCGTGGCGCACGGGAGAGGCTCAGTCAGGACTGAGGGTCTCAACAGGGCAGTGGCAGGGTGCTTCAGTCCCAAAAGGATCTTTCATTCAATCAAAGCTTTACATGGAACAGCAATAGACACCTAGGCCATTTTGACAGTGCTGGTTCCTAAGGAATACTTCTCTAAAGAACAGAGACTAATCTGTGACATGTTAACAAAAGCAGTTAGAAGTAACTGAGGTTTAGAAACACAACCCATGCTGCTGCTATTTTTTGAAGATAATATCTTTCATTTGATAGAAATATAGATTATATATTACATTACATATGTTTTAGAACCCTATAATAGGGTTATGGTGAATGCATGTTTTCTAGAAGATTTCATCAAGCATAGAATTTAATTTTTATGTGAACCTTTTGTAACACTTCTTCCTCTAGACTCCTGTACCTAGTATAATACAGTGGGAGAAAACAAAACAAACTTGGAGATCTGATTTCCCCTTCTAGCCGAGAAGCATCTGTCCTCTCTAATCTACAGGTTTTCTCGTCTGTAAAAAGGAGGCCAGTCTAAAGGGTCTCTGAGGCCCCTTCCAGATATATTATGATTCTCTGATTATCATTTAAAATAGCGAGAGAGAGAGAGAGAGTGAGAGCGAGAGCGAGAGCGAGAGAGAGAGAGAGGCTGGGGTGCGGGGAGAGAACAAACCGTATTATACAGCTTTCTCCAGACTAAGGAGTGGAAGATGTCGCTTCCCAATCCTGGGTGCTCCATCCTCTTCCCTTTCCCTTTCCTCCACAAAAGGCCTTGACCTACAATTTATGACACTGACTTGGAAAGGCTCTAATTCCAGTCCCGCTTCTGATCTAGAGCCCCCACTCTGCCTTTTTATTCTGAGGCACCTGCTTCTCAATCCAGGGCAACCCACTAGCTAAGGAGAGCTTCCTGTGAGAGCTCACCAGAATGTCCATTCAGCTTCCGCGACAGGAGCATGTCCTCCGTGATATAGATGCACATGTCTGGGCTGACGTCCAGAGACTCTTCATTCATCTGTTCCAGGTCCCTGGGATCATCAACCAACATCTCTATTTCTGACACACAAAAAAGGAAGACATTTAATGGCATAAACGGAAATGGCCACCATGATTCAAAGCCGCACTTTGAGGGAGGCTATGTAATTATTCATATTTTAAAATTTGCTAACAAGACTTCTAGGAAACTCTAGGGACAATTCTCAACTAGATGCTAGTTGTACTCTTTTTCACAGAATTGCTGTGTTATTTACATGTCTTCTGATTCCATGATTTGACTGTCAATCATTTATTTACTCTTTAAGAAACAAGAAAAGCTACACTACCATTCTGCGATGACAAAGAGCAAACTGAGACCGGGGGGCCATTTGCCTGACGCTAGAGCAGACTGCTGACAGACAGAATTAGTAGTTCATGAAGCTCCCCATTTCTCATAGCTATCTATTCCCAGGGCATTCGGTGATTTGATTTGCGATCCACATGAGTTCTATAGTAACCAAACATATGTTCTGCAGTTTTCCTTAATGAAGTGAATTTCTTTTCCCCTCAGACTGAATGTTATAGCAATTATTTGAGACAAAAATAATAAAAAGGATGTACACAAATGATAAGTTTGGCTGAGAAAGCAGCTGCCATGGCTGGTCACTGTGTTGTAGGCCTCATCTTATTTCCTTAACACAGAATTAAGCAGCCAGTTGCTATATTTCTTTCATACTTCCTAGAGTTCTGGTGATATGGGAATTATTTTAGAAATACTTACTAATGAATCAAATGGCCTGGGTCCAATTTTTTTTTGCCAAAGTTTAAGTCGTTTCTGTTACTATCATAGTATCTAATCTGCTGTCCTAACCAATGCCTATTTCATCTAGAAATCAGAAATGCAGAGACAAGGGCTGCAGGTCTAACTTCTACTCTATACAAACTACTAAAACTTAGAATCCACAACATCTAACCCTGCTGTGGCAAAAGATCATGAGTAAAGGGATGTTTTGTCCACAGTCAAACACAAACAACCGAGTCATTGGGGAAGATGGCAAGGCCCTCTTTTTCTCCATTACTACTTCTTAGTTGCTCTCCAGACATCAATTCTACAGAACTAATACTTGGAAAACAAAAAACAAAAAACAACTAGGAGGAAAAACAGAAGAGAGCAAGTGAGGACGAGTCAGTACCGTCCGCCTGAAGGGCTGGGGGAAAGGTTACCATCATCCTGTGAGTCCTCTTCCAGCCGGTCCTTGCCACCGCTCTCCACCCCTGAGGTGTGGGAGCTGCCATGGCTGGTCATTGAGCTGCAGGTCTTCAGCTTGCGGTGGATGGCGCTGCCGGAGTAGCTGTCCTCTGGCCCCGTGTCCCGGGGCTTGGTGTCTGCCTCGATGCCTGAGGTGTGGGAGCTGCTGTGGCTGGCAGTGGAGTGACGAGACAGGCGCTTGTGCTTCATGCTGCCCGCGCTGCTCCCGCTGGCCCGGGAACGCTTTTCCAGCTGGTCCATGTCAAGGTCCAGGTTGTCACTGATGTAAGATTCCCGGTACTGCTTCTTCTCTGTGTGGTGAGGAACACAGCTTGTCATTACATTCAGCCAAGACAGAAAAAAAACAGTAGGTAAGCGTGAGTGAGTCATTAGGCCAAGAGCAAGTATAATTTCACACTCAGAACCTAGTAAATGGAAAGTGGTCATAATTCTAATAGGAGCTCCACTTAAGGAGATTGAAAAATGAATAAAAACCAGTACAACAGGTTTGAGGGGCATATTTAAATACTCAAAAAGTTTTACAGTTTTGAGCACTATAGAACACAGCTATTCAAAGTATAAGTCGGCAGACCACTTCTTGTCAGCAAACTGTTAATGGTCCATAGTGAAATAATTTCAATAACTGAGAATAAACATTTAGCAAGTTTTAGAGCAATCTGACATTGTCATGATAACCACTAATGTGATTTTGTATTTTGCAAAAGTATCAGTCCACAGTGGATTAGAAATTTTAAAAACCTGGTCCTTCCCCAAAGATATATTTAGAAGCACTGCTATAGGAGACTGTTTAATAAATATAATTATGCCAACTGCCATTCATTTTATTAGTTCGCTTGTTCAATTTGGTCCATCGTTAGCTTAGCTCCGTCAAATACAATATAAAATAAAACTATTCTGAGAATTTCTTTCAAAGAATTCTAAAATTTAGATTTATATTAATGAAAATCACTTTTCTCCATTTAGGCTAAATAAATGAGACCTTCTCTATCATTTAGAAAACATAATAATCACTATGGGTTTGCCATGTGGTCTCTGATTGGTAAAACTGTTCTTTAACATGTCAGTGCTATTCTTTAATAGAAAGATAAAATATCGGAAAGTTCCTTTTATCAAATTCTAAACTTCTGTTAAGGCACAAAGTAACAACTGAGATGCAGGTATATGACTGACAAAAAATATTATTTTTGCATTTCAGGTCAGAGATTTAAAACAAAAAAAAAATAGTTTAGCTTCCTTGTATTTTTAATACTGATGAGAAACAACACATTGAAACAATGCTAAAAAATGAAGACTGCATTCGGGGAATGTTAAGTTGATATTATTTCAGAAACTGCTAACTAGTGGACTAATTGGGTTCTCAGGGGCTGATAATGGATTTAATTGTCTTATTTCTTAGTTAAGTGAAAACACTTACACTCCTGATGTCTGAATCCAGCACTAAAAAGTATAATCGCCACGGGCTCCCCAGAGAGGGAATGAGCATCAGCAGAAAGAGAAGATAATGCTTTCCCGAATGCAAAATGGAAAAAAATGCTTGGAGGAGGCTATGCGTACATTTCTGGGCTCTAGCCCATTCACTTTAATTCTAAGGAATCAGGCTGAAACACAAAGGCAAGTGTGTGTAGCCACACAGAAAGGAGACTGGAACCGGACATCACAGCCCAGCACACATATCACTGAGACCAAAGTACATTTAACCCATCTTTTAGGGCTACACTGGGTTCTAATGATTCCTATTTTTTGAAGGCAACAGGGGTTAAGACAAAGATAGAGAGCTAAAAGCATTTGCAAAATTCTCATATAATTTCTATTCACTGTAGTTTCAAAATAATAGCCATGTGGCCCTTAAGGGGTGGCAAGTGAAGAGAAAAAAATTAAAGAAAAAGAAATAAGTTCTATAACGTATCAGAATTCTAGGACAATTGGGAATTGTGGATCTAATAATTTAAAAGCTTTTCTACCTCTTTATAACTAGTCCTCTTACTCCCAACTTCCCGAAAGGTTTGGAGCCAATCATAGTTCTTCCATACTCACTAGTACACTCACTAGTATACTCACTGGAAGACGAGCACTTGCCAGCCTGCTCTCTTCCCAGTAGGAGTCTAGTGTAAATCTACTTCCTGTCAAAGTGTCACCTTAGCCTTGGAGCTCTACAAGGCTAGCCTCTGTTCCCTTCACAGTGCTACATCACTTAGATCTTCTGCAAACATTTAAGAAGCTATGTACCACTCATTACAAACTGAGGAAATTTTGAAATAATTCAGAAATTTATTCTAAGAAAGGCAAAATGCAACTTCTCATCCTCCTAATAATCACCAGCATAAACAGCGCAGATGGTCAATATGTCAGTGTTCTTTTATTCCCCCTATGGTAAAAGCCCAGAGACCACAAAGTTTTTCACACATTATTCTGGAATATATGCAGTCAATGTGGACTCTGGACATATGACCTGAGAATAAGCTCCAGCTACTGAATAAGTGGGGTTAAAAAAAATTTTTTTAACGAAAAAGATATTTCTTCTAAATACTACAGAAGAATTCTTATAATCATTTTCTACTATAAAATGCTAAAACAGTGTTTCAGACAAGGTGACTAAAATAAATTTGATTAAGTAAAATACAGACTCTTTCTGTGCTGCTTTTTTGCTAAACCAATGCTGAGAAAGCTTAAGAAAATGATGGAGTCCTTAAGTGTGGGTGAGACAACTGGATTCGGGCCAGGGCTGGTCCAGGGAAACTTAGTTCCAGGCTTCCTTCAGACCTGGAGGGATCTCTAAGTAGAAGAAATTAAGTATGTTTTCTTTGGAAGAAAAAGAAAAAAAGTCCCCCCCCACCCCCGCCCCCAAATCTATGTACACTAATCCAAATAAAAGATCTACTCACATAAGCCCCCAAATATGCTCTGTACTATACTTGGTAATGGATGAAGCCCACCCTCTGAGAACTCAAAACACTTTGTAATTTTACCTTAGACCCTATAGGGAGGTTCTTTAATTCTTTGAAGCTCTAACGAGCTCCTCTTAAGGTCACCTAAACAAGAATTTACTAAAATGCTGCTGGTAGAGAGCTGATGGAATAAATACACCTCTCAAGGCAACAGTTAGGAACAACGCTGACTTGGCAAATGAGGGCTCTGCACCTCAGTAAGTCACTTATTCTCACAAGTTTCCTGTCCTGTCTGAATTCCTCTTAATATTCATGTCAGCATCAGAGAGATATATTTGTTATACCAATGAGTCATCGTGATGAAGAACTGGCAGTCTGGCAGCAGAGGAAGCCAACACACCTGACAGTTTTACCAATTTGCTCAGAAGACAGATGCAGTTTGGTGGCAGACAGTGGGAGATGATTCATGTTCTAATCACTACTCAAATTACAATGACATCTCCACACCAGGTCTCCTTGAGAGGAATCAATCAGATGTGCAAACCTCTAAAGTTTTTTGTTTGTTAAGAGAAGACAGGCATTTGTCTTGTTTCTGTCGGAAAGGTGGGGTCTGAGAGGTCAACAATGATTTCAGACATGGACCTAAGGTATGAATCTGCCTCCTAGGGATCAGGCAAACACCCCTAAATCTACGAATCTAATAGAATTACCAAGAATTAGTACAACATGAATTTTCCAAACAAATTGAAGGCATTAAATATAAACAAGGAGGCAAAGCAGCACTTTGGGGAATGAGACGTTGGAGTGTGTTAACCAGGCTAACGATGAGGTCAATACTGGAAAGCTGAAGCTGCTGTCGGAGGCCCCATCCCTGCCTTCCTCTTCCTCACCATGATATGTCTCCCTTCTTGGGGCCAGGACTCCGGGGCCCCAAATAAACTGCTCTATTCTGTGTCACAGCAAAGCCCTCACAGCACTGGCTGATAAAATCCTCAAATGAAAACTGCTTTCTCCTTTG